CCGTGTCCGGGCAAGGGCGGTTTGCGGGAAGGCAGGGGGGGGGGGGGCGCCTCCATCCTTTGCAGGAGGAAAATGTCCCTGGAGTCCTCACAGGGCCCGAGTACTCTATGCCAGTCAGCAAAGCAGCAGAGTTCCCAATGGCACATCGCATGTGTGCACTCGCCACGTCACACAGCATTGTTTTTCAGGCAGTAGCCTGTAACAGCAATTTGTGGGTTTACGTTGAAGGGAGAATTAGGGGGCCCTGCTGCAGGAGTCACAAAACTGCTGGCAAAAGTTTAGCGAAGGAGGCTGCGTCCCCAGAGGGATTGAGCCATTTCCCCAGGCTGGTGTCCTGGTCAAGCCCAGGACAAGGCAGTTGGCACCTAAAAAGTGCAAAACCATTCTTTGACTGGCCTCATGTGGCAAATGTGATTACAACAAGTACCACAGGCATTTCTCACCGCAGTGTTACAACCTCTGCAGGACCGGCATAATTCTGCCACAGGTTCCTCAGCTGAAAAAGATGCCAACAGGAAAACTTTACAGGCATTTCTCAATTTACTTTGGGGCTTGTCATCTAAAGTTGTCTTTTACAGAGGAGAAGGAGTTGCCCACTCTCAGTTACCAGGAGCCAAGAATAAAACATGTGGCAATGCTTTCATTCTCTCAGATGAGACTAAGCCTCCCCAGAAGCACAAGAGGACAGCTGCAGAAAACTAGAGCTCCCTTGCCCTCTCCATCCTGCTGCTGGGAGCATCCCTTTGTTGACTAAGGGAGTCCCTGGGCAGCAAAGAGATGCAGCAGGCTTACCTCAGTTCTCTCCTGGGCTTACATGCAGGAAAACACAGAGGGCCTGGTCTGTACCCTGGCTGACAGATATCATGTGGAAATTGCTGGCATGCAGGCTGACCAAATTTGCACAGCCACCAGCAGCTTCTCAGCAGAAAGGCTAAAGAAGTGGCTTAGCTTCACTTTTGACTAAGACTGTACTGCCGTGGCCAAACCTTGACCTTGCTAGGAGGGAATCAGGTCCCTAAGGCTCCCTGCAACGTACAGAAATCATGCAGTGGGCCTTCTGCTAGGCATCAGGGAGAGAATTAGAGATGTGATGGCATATTAGAGATATGGGGCTGTACTTACGATCATTTGTGAAAAAGCTGTAAACAAGGTTAAACACATTTAGAGAAAATATGTAGAGTCAGAAACCTCCTGTATTACTGAGGAGTCAGCACTTACAGTTCCTTCTGGGTCCACCAAAAGAAGATGCTTGGCTTGGCCGTTGTGCATGCCTGTCAGCACATAGGAGCCGGGATTCGTGGTACTCTTCCTCACGAGGAAGTCTCCACATTTCTTTAACAGCTGTTCTGCTTCTTTCCTGCTCATTTCTCCTTGATACCACGGCTCTGTACTCAGCTGTTCAGCTACAGTCCGGTCAGCTGCTCTGGATAAAAGAGGACTGGTGCACCCCGTGGAGGTGGATTTTCTCAGTGCAGCCTCAGACGTTTGGTTCTTGAGGGCATCTTCAAATGGTTCTGGTTATGGAAATAGAAAGAAGGGCAAGATCATTCAGAGGTAAATCATATTACAAAATGGTGATATTTCAGTCATTTTTAACTGGATTTATTCTGTGTTATAGCCACTTCCCTTTGTCTTTATGATAAAACTGAGGGAAGATATACTGCTAGGCCTACTGATTTATGGATTATATTAAGACTGAGGAGTGTAATATGTTAGAAATGTATGTTATGCAGAGAAAGATACTGACAAAAATCAGAGCAAACCTTGGCAGGAGCTTTTGAAAGGGACTGATTTTATTTCAGTAATGGCTATTGTCAACAGTTGCATTTATATGCCCTGGTACTGGGCAGAGGTCTCCTTTTGTCTTGCCAGGTATGTCAGACAGTTTAATTTCAAATAAATTGCATAATATGGGTACCCAATGTCATTATACTCATATCTGGTCTCTCTTCAAACAATATATTCATTTTAAAATTATCCATTACTGAGTCCCCAGCCCAAGGGTATGTCTAGAAGGGATCAGTTGCCCTTACCACTCAGCCTACCACTAGCCTCCACCTAGGAAGAGGACTTTGCAACACAGGCACAGGCTAACACCTTTAACGTGATTTACCAAGCTGAAATCAGCCTCGGGGAAGAATCTTTTAAACCTCAGCTAAATCCTGAATTCAGTGTTACTTTCTGTAGAGTGGAATAGAAAGATGTGTCATTACAGATCCCAGCAGTCTTACAGAAATAGTAAATAGGTCAGTGCATGCTTCATTAAATGCTGTACTGACCTATTGGAAGCTATTTTCCTTTGCAAGACCTTCATCTGGCCAACTAGTGCATATTAAAAAGAGATACTGTTCTGTGACCACTAGACTTACAAAAGGACATCTGCAGAGCAGTACTGTGAAGCAATACACCAGCTCTAAATAGTGTGCTCAGATGCGAGGAGTACACAGCCATCTTTGCATGGGGCCACAGAGGATTAATTTAGCTCGGAGAAATAGTGTAAATACTGTGCCATCACAGCTTATTGATACCTCAGCTAATTCTTAAAACCAGCTTATATACGCATTCACTACATTGCAGTCTGCACTAAGCCCAACACATGTTTAGCTCAACAAACCACTAACTTAGGGCTACTTGACACGTTTTCTAATACTACTTTTCCATGATGATCCAATGGTTAATAAAGTTTAATGAAGGCTGGAAGATGAGAAATCTGTTTTTACGAAAAGAATGCATATAAAATAGAATTAAACGTGTGCATGTTTTAAAGGCATGGCATGTTAAAAATCAAGGTTAACATCCCTGATTTCAGACAGCAGACTTTTCTCATTTCAAATCTATACTCACAGATAGATACTCTCTCAATTTTCTTCCCTCCCCCTTTCTTTCAATACAAAGTCTCCCTAAGCTGTGGAAATAAGAGCCATATCTCAGCAAAACATGCCAGGAAGACAGTTTTATGTATACTGAGATAACAGAAATGTAGATATGTTATTTTACAAATAACATATAGGCACCAACTGCTTTGTCTCACTGCCTTTTAATTATGTGAACTGAATTAAATAAATCTTGTGTCAGCAATTCATTGGAGGTAGGAAGAGTAGAAAAACTAAGAAAACTTTCTGTGCATCAAACTGCTTTCCCATTATTACCTGTTAAGTATCTCTTCAAGGCTCAAAACGTGTATTGGTAGCACCAACATCAAATCACAACCATTGTTTTACAGCTATGGCCATGATTCTGATTTTAGAAAAGCTGACTTCAAAGTTGGAACAGATAGCTAGATAGGACAGTAGGCCTATCCAGAGCAAAGGATAACTCAGCCTTTTGATTTCCCTCCCAGCTTCCTTGTTGCATAGTTTTTGTAGTATGCATTGAATTCCTAGTAACATCTTCACAGGACAGGTTGGAGCTAATTCTCCAGCCATTCAGTCCTTCACTTTCCTGCATGACAAGCCTCCTCATTTATTTTCCTTCTGACCTAGTTGCCTGTGATGCTAAGGATAACATAGACTGCAATTCACCTTAACTCAGATATAATACAAACTAGATTCAAATCTTCAGCCACCCTTATTTTAACTCAGTCCAGTACAAAACCACCATGAATTCTCAAAATTCACCATAATTCCACCAGGAATACTAAAATTTTGAGAATTTTAAAATTATTTTTATACAGAACTAATGCATATACATAAACATATTGGGTCGCTTGTTAGAAAGGGAGTGAATAGGAAGGGAACTCACTCATGTCAAACAGATCCTTTCCTGGGCTGCTCTCTTTGGTATCATCTGCTGTTCCACTGAAGGTACTTTCAGCATCTGCCTGAAGTGCCAATAGAGCTTCTATGTTTATATGCTGGGTGTTTACATATGTTGGCATCTCTGTTGTTGGGGTTACTTGTGAGTTCCCTTCCGGCATACTACAAATATCCAGAGATCCTAGAAAATTCAAGACTTTTTTTCTTCTTTTTTTGTATTTGACAGAACAGTGTTGTTATAATGAGCAAATAACATGACACCCCATCACCACAGGTTTAAAATTCCCTGGAATGGGAGATGTAAAGTCAATAAATGCAGGATCTAGTGGAAAAATTTTTTTAAGAATGGATTCAGAACTGTGTTCCAATGAGGGCTGGGGCAGAGGTGTTATTATTCAGGAAGAAAGGAAACTTTTGTAAATAAAGACTGCCAGTTTCAAAAAATAATATTTAGTTGGGGAGTCATGGGAGGAAGAAATGGAATAAAATCCTCAAATCTGTGCAGATTAACAAGTGATAACATATTTTAGCATTTGAAAAGAAAGTGTCCCCAGAAACACAATAAAGCTGTCACATAAGGGTGGATGGGTGAAATTTCACACATATTTTTATGTCATTTGCTTAAAATTAGAGACAACCACAAAAAGAACATTATGCATTATTTGTTACTCGTGGAGCAGAGATCATGTGCAAACAAATGCACTGCTCCACATTTTAAAAAAACTTCTGACTTTAGACTCTTCCTTTGGAAACTCCATCTTGCATAACCTAGTGGGTCAGATTTTCAGAACAGACCATGCAGCCCATCTTTAAATACCATGGAATTTTAAGACATGGCAAGCTAGAGAGCTGAAGATTTGAGGCAACTCTATTTCTGAACTGCTCTGCAAAAGATAAGATTCTGTGAAGGTGTGCATTTAATAATTTATTCAGAGGTAATTACCAAATGCTTTCCACTGATATCAACACTAAAATTCAGACAAAGGGAATCTAGCAACAAAGTGCAGTTCATTGCCTTAAGACTTTGAGGCATCAGACTTTCATGTGCTTTGCCCACCCAAGACCTCCTGCAGTATTACAGCTAAAACTAGCAAAACTCACCTTGCTTAACAGGCCAATGATGCCAGTCTTCAATGAATTTGTCTCCTAAGTGACGACTCTGGTAATAGGTTTGCTCTCCTCCCACTCCTGCTGCAGACTAGAATGGACACATATGCAGAGAAATTTTCAATTACCTTTAAAACGCTCAGATACATTGTGAGTGGTTCTGACAATTTCCTTGGCTGTATTCTGTGTACTCCCACTCTTCATTTCCGATTCATCATGGTGTCAGAATATATGTCTCACAAATGCATTTGTGTAGGAGTAAGATATTACCGGTGACCTTCATGTAAACTTCCCTGCTTCCTGCTTTCATTAACGCCCGCAACCCCAAATGATGCATCACCTCCTGTAGTACACTTGTCTTCACATAGCAAGCCTGACAAAGCATGCCTGGGAAAAGCGTTCCACAGAAACACACCTGGGACAAGAAGACACCCCCAGCATCCTCCAAAGCATGAGCTGAAAGACTCACATTGGTACCAGGGGACGCACTCAGGTACCGAAGGGAGAATGTTGTCTACAGACAAGGCCCCTCTGGATTTAAGCAGTGTTGTGCTGGATCTGAAAACTCCTCTTAGGTAGCTACGTTGATACTGGAGTCAAACAGTTGACAGCAACGCTGGTAGAAATATCCAAGCGGACCTCAGTTCAACATGAGGTGGCGAACCTGCCTAGGAACCTGGCTGAATACAGATCGTTGCTGAGTTATTAACATAATGAACTGTTAGCAATGACTGCACTAGACTGTTTAAATTATTCTGCACCAAATCTTTCGCAGTTAGTGTGCACTATTTGATAACTCCCTGAAACAGACATGGTTTCTACAAACATAGTAAACCTCAGTGGATTTCTCTTCCTTGAACCTGTGTAATCTTTTAACACCATGAGGAACTCACCTCCTTCTGTTTGTTCTGAACCTGCCTAATTTGTTGCCTCCTAGATCTTCAATGCCCATTCAAACGGAAACTGGCCACATACGAAGAGCTGTGAGCTATAAATGGTCCCGATGTATCCATCTTAAAATGCACATTTTGTAAAAATTTTGGATCCATCAGCAGGAGGGCAGGGATGCACTTGCACTGACCTGAGCTGTATCTGCAGCAGTGGGAAGTCTTGCTTTGAGCCTGGCATCCATGAAGCCGCCAGGGGGGGGCATTTTATTTGGGATGTTGTTGTAATAAGGATGTTCTGTTGTCTCGTTATCTTCCTCCATCCATGGCTCATCAAAACTCTGCGTCCTATAAGAAAGCGAGTGCTTTATTTTTGCCCTCGCTTGCAAAGCAGTTACAGATACTTCCAGCATGTTAAGACTGCCTGTCAGGGGATCACTATTGCATATTATTTTGACAATTCAGCTACCATTATAAGTCAGCAAGCAATGATGGATCATGCAGCAGAGCTTCTCTGTTTAGACAAACTAATCTAAACCTGCTTTGCAGAGAATGAAATTCTTTATGCTGAGTAAAGGATGTTTTAACTTAGCTTTAAAGACCATTATAAACTGCACTAACAAACAATTTTATTTAACCTTACAGTAGTATTTCTAATATTATTACTTGATTGATTGACTGAGCTCCAAAACTTTGTCTTTAATTATGGCTGCTCTATCACCGATATAAATCTGGAAGAACTTCACAAAGTCAAGAGACTGGATCTGTGCTTTCAGTCTACATTTAACAGTCATTTCCACTAGTCTGAAGTGAGTACAGAATGCTTACAGATTAGGATAGTAGCATTTTGTATTCACCATACACTCATTTTACTCTGATGTAAGAGATTACACAGAGTACCAGCTCACTGGGATTTATACTAATGTTAGCAAGCATATAGCAATCCATGTTAAAAAACACAGCTCAACAAAGAAAACAGAATGCTATATCCCAGCCTTTTAAACATATACAAGCAGACAGATTTTGTATCCTCCAGAGAACAATACAGTCAAAGCCTGTGTACAATACACCACATTCCTAAAAACTTCACCCTGGCTAATATCAGAAATAGTAAAACATCACTAGTCATTTTGGAAGCCAAGCAACTCTAGCTTACTTCATCTAAATTGACAGAGCTGCTATGACAGTAATAATGAGGAAATGCCACAAATAACATCCATTCTCAGCCATACAACTCTGCCTACTAACTACAACAGAACACACATGATCATTTCAATAAATTCACTGTGAAATCCATGTTTAGCCCATTCTTTTAAAATGACTGTGCTCCTTTCATATTCATTAGGCAAACACTGCTTTGCTAATTCAGCAGAAATCTTTTTCACGTATTTAAATCCTGTCCATCTCCAGCCTCTTTGTCCACAGCACATTTTACTAAGTAAATACAAAGCTAACAAAGATCCTTTAGCAGTATTCTGCAGTTGTACTTACCTATCATGGAAAGTAGGTATCTTAGAGGGGCATCGCAAGTATTGCTTAAATCGAAGCTCGAACGCTTGCCCTATGGTGCTGATGACATCCTGGGCCAGGCCATCACGGCATTCGAGTACATGACAAGCTAAACGAAAAAGATTTGACACATGCACATGCAAATCCTTGTTTATGTTATGGTGGGATGCACTGACCTATGACAAAACACCTACATGTCAGGCATAGTTGCCCTATTCATGGCGTCCATGTTTCAATAAAACCCAGTTCTGGCACAGTGAATTTCAGGCAATGGGGTCTTTTTAAAGGCTAAATAAAATTTCTCCAGTGTGTAACTGCAATAGGCAAGACCACAAATCAGTTCCACAATTTTAACAAGTCCATAAAGACGGGAAATCTCATAAAATTTCACTTGTTATTACCAGAATGCAATAGATTATATGAGAATTATAAGTTTTAAATTGAAATTACAAAAATATTAGTAGATGGTAGCAACAAAAAAGCTTTCTTTGCTTTCCTCAATTTTATTACCACTTCAGTTTTATATCTAATTATCCCAAGTTTGCAAGCTGTTCACTTCGAGTTTCCAGAATTTCCCAAATCACAGGCTGAGGGAGGAACAGTAACTAGGCTAATTCCTAGATCCCAGGCCCTGACCTGATTCCAGTAATACAGAGCCTGGTACCTTTTCCTGCTTATCTGTATGGAGACACTTCCAGCAAACTGCGGGATCACTGGGGAGCACGTAGCCAGGACCCTGGTTAACTCCAGCATTCCCCAATGTGCCATCTTTCTGAACCCACTGTGACAGAGGCAGTAAGGAGAGAGACTGGCAATATACAAGCTCTCTTTCTATGGGAGACCAAGAAACCTTTATCAGCTGTCTAAGCAGCCAAATCTGTCCCGGTTTTAAATAAGAAAGTGGCTTAGAGGTATCATCTTATGTGACAACATAAAGAGGCAAACTCATGCAGATTTCACCTAACACTGCAGGAACATAGATAGGTGTTAAGAGCTGAAAGCTAAAGATCTGAATGAACAATACCTCAGTGATATTCAGAAAGGCCTAGACAAGTTCATTTTCCATACTCAGTGCTGGACAAGCACATGGCCTACTGGCTAGAGCCTGGACTGAATTTGAAACCCTGGTTCTTCTCAAAGTCCTGCTGCAGTACAGTGGGACCTTGTTCAAAGTTAGAAATTTCTATCACCCCTGACTGCTTTATTAACCTGAATATAAATTCTTCAGCTGAAAACCTGCATTTTAGTATATGGCCAGTGTCCAGCTCAGTGGAATCAAGTGTTTTGGATGCCAGTGTCCTACAAATAAGGGTTGGTCATTACATTTGTCTGACATAATTTTAGTTAAAGCAATATAGGGAGACTAAGAAGGTTTAGCAATGACTTCTCAGAGGCTGATCTGCTGGACAGACTTCTGAAGAGGCCAGAATAAAGAGCAAGAAACCTGCAGTTATGCAGGTATGGAATGATCAGGGCACCAAGCTGTCTCTCTGTCAGCAGCAGCAGCACCTCGCGCAGCATGAGATGGCACCGGTCACAGTGCTGCCCTGCTAAACAGTGGTTTAGAGATCCAGTGATGCTCTCTTCTCACCTTACAGCATCTGCTGTGCCAACCAGCATGCTGAGGCAATGCCTGATTCAGAGGAAATGTCCTTAGCCACATGTTGAAAGTGGATTTGGCAGCCAAAAACAGGACCTCCATGTGTTCAAAGACAGAGGCAGACACCCCTGGATAGCAGCAGGATCTTTGCTGTTTATCCTTTCTGCACCATTGCTGGCGGCAGTGAACAATCAGCCCCCAGATAAGGTGCAGACTTACTTCCATGAACATGGACCAAAAGCAGTTAGGCCAAACAAAGCTATAATTTTTGCACTCTATAACTAGAATGGGGATTTAAAGAGGCTATACTGCTCGCTGCTAAACCTGTCTGGAGCTGAAATGAAGTATGAGTCATTAAGTAGTTTCAGTAGGTGACATAATGAGTAACCTGTTTCCTTGGATACGTGAATGGACTTGCAGCAGGTAGGAGATGTGCTTCTTGTAAAAGGATAAGAAGGTTTGGCTCACAGAGAGATGATTTTTTGTGAATGTTACAGCAGAAGACAGGCAGCCTGTAGCTTGCTAGATGCAGAATATAAAGCATGAAAAGAGCTTTTCCATCCTTGAGAAGAAATAAGTCTAATATGCAAGTGAAAGCTACACCACAGCATCGGTGCTAGTGTCAGTAACAGCAAGAGTAACATTTTTACTAGATAACAGAAGTAAATTCAAACTCAATTCTAAAGTAACTTGCAGATAACACAAAGACTGACAGAATGGCCAGTGATGGTGAAAGACAGCAATCCAGATCCCTTGGTAAACTAGACCTTACAAAAAAAAAGTGTTTTAATACTGGTCACTTACAAAGTCACTGATCTGCAAACCACTGATATACACACACAATTGGGGAAAGCTCCCATGGAAAGCTGTAACACAGAAGGCTTAAAGATCACAGCGTGAAAGAATTTCATGTGAGATAATAGTGCTTCACTGCAGCAAAAAGGGCTTATGAGAAACCAGCTAATGACAAGGAAGGTGCAGCCTCTGTTAGAGATTGCTGACATTAATACTAGATTACTCCAAACAATAACAGGCATCATCTACCTTTTTTAAAGCAATGCAGAAAAATGAAAGAAGGAAGAACAGAAATTATCTGAAGGATGGAGGACGTGCACTGCAGCTGAACACCTACAGAGTTCACGTTGTCAAACTTTTCCTAAAGAAAATGCTTGAACTAAATACACCACAAAAGACAGTACCAGCTGCTTAGGTGACTCCTGGATGTAGGATAGACTAACTCAACAGGAACAGCAACAGGAAGCTAAGGCTAAATACATTCAATTTAAATATAAGGAACATAGTCTATGAAACAGTTTTTATGTCAAATCCACTCACACAGGAACAGGAAACAGAGCACAGTTCTCCTCCAAACCCTACAGTGCAAAAGTCTGGTCTGCGATGCTGGTTCACTACATTGCCACTGAGATCTCTCAGAACAACTAAATCAGTCTCTGGTTTAGCAGAAAGGTACTGCTGAAGCAGGTAGGGCAGACAGCAGCTCTGCACCATACAGGCTACAGTCTGATGCCAGAGCCTTTCTAATGGAGGACACATGATTTTGGAACATAACGAGCATGGCAAAGAACTGGATTATCTCCCTATCTCCCACTCCCCATAAGCTTTCTAGGTGTTTCACTAATATTCAGCATATTAGTATGTTTAGTGCATGTATTGTTTATAAGGTAACGCTCTCGAGTCTGGAGATCTCTGCACATGGACACAGCAGATTGCTGAGGTATCTAAAACCATTAAAGATGACAAAATACAGAATTAGTTGTGGCCATGGTAAGGTGGCAGCTCAGGGTTTGCAGGGTTGGCACTTTGGAGTTAAAGTGTCTGAATTCTGCAGAAATCCTGTTGGAACTGCTTGAGTCTTTTTTTGGAGCTAGTCCTTTTTCCTCTATGAATCTATGAATAATAAATAGATTCTCAGGTACATTACATAATACTTTGTGTCTAGCATTAAGACCTAGTGATGCTTTCTGCATTACAAGCAGGAATGTTTTCTGTACCTCTTATTTCAGATTGTAATTTCCACTTTTTATGATTTATTTTTGAAAATCTGAACTGGATCTTAGTCTTTGAAGACAAGCAACAAGAGTTTCCCTGTTCCTGACTGGTCACTCACAAAGCAATACAACCTTGAATAAAACTTCACTGAGAAAGAGGATTACAGCCTCCAGCAAGCTGGCTCGAAAACTCACTGTTTGGTAAAGAATCTGATTCTGCCAGGAAGAATTAGGCATGTACTGAGAAGACCTAACAGATTCAGCCACCTCATCGGAGGTCTTACACAGAGAACTGCTTAGTTCTTGTATAGTGATTGGGTGTAGGTGAGAGTTAGCTGTTGCCTAGAAGCTCACACAGCCACGTAAGGTGAGCATTTGATTTAAGAGATTAAGAGAATCAAAGTGATATTTGGAGATGAACTACAAGCAAGACCTGTTCCAAGTTTGAGAAGCAACTTGTGCATGGCTATTCCTTATTGCTACACAATCTTTCCATGACTTTATCAAAGGCAATCTTTTTATTGGGCTGCATGTATTTTTTTCGGGGGGGGGGGGGGGGGGATGAACTGAATTATACCATGAACAATTCATGTTTCTCAAAGGAAAAAAGATTCCAAATAGATATTTCTTACTTACCTCTCCGATTAACAGGATCCTTAGCTACATATGCAACATAGTCAGCTGTATCCTGTCAAAAAATTAAGATATCTACAGTGAACACAAAAAATTTTTGCGCTGATCATAGCAAAAGATCACAGTCCAGAGTGTGCACATTCCTGTGGGTAGACCTTCAAATGACATGTTTTTCTCTACAGTTGTACACTAGTTAAACCCCATAGAAATATTTGTGGATTTTGGTACTAATCCCACCCCTTTGCTTCCTCCAGAGTGTGATCTATTCCAGCAAAACTTAAAAACCTCTTCCAAGGGCTTTGAAAATCAGTTGAACAAATTTAGTAGGATTTGGATCAGGCCTCATTTAGAAGAGAGTAGAATTACAAGTCCTCATCTTCAAACTACCCAGAGATTTTGGTTCAGAGCATGAATAATCAACTGGTTCTGTGGCAGAAAGAGTGGGAGTAACAGCCCTGCTCCCCAGAAATACTGAGCAATAGCATTTATTCATGTGTGACAAGCAGGTGTGTTTACTTTACTGACTACAATGCCATACAGCACAGAGGTGCTCAGCCACTGCTTGGCTGTGACAAGCAGCATCCCAGGACACTCTCCCCCAGCCCATGGGCTGCTCCCAGCCATCCCCGTTGCCACATGCCAGGTGGATTTTCTGGCAAGAGCAGGCTGACATCTTCCTTCTGGATTTTTTGCTTGCTCTCCTGCCATCCTCACGCTCCTGTGCACAAGCAGTTCAGATGTTTATCACTGTGCAGATGAAACAGAAAGGCCAGTGCTTCCAGGAAACGTGAGGCCTGCTGGCACATCCGGAAAATGCCATATATCTTTGATGCGATCAGGAAGTCACATCTGGTTAGATCTGATATTTCCTGACATGACTGGCTAGTCAGGTATAGCTAAACCTAACTGAAGTATATATAGGATACACTACAGATGGCTGTATAGATCTACCCAAAGCCTTTTCAGGTGACTGATCCAAGACCACTGACAATTATGTCAAGATCCAGTGTCATAACAAACATCAATCTTCAGTTAAAGAACAGACTTCTTTAGCTTAGCTTTCTCTAGTATAAGCACACACCACCATGACGCACCCAAAACAAATCACTGTGCTGCATGTCCATGCAATTTCCCTCCTAAGGAGAGGGCAAGGGAAACGATGAAGCACATTCATGGTTCTGGTGACAGATGTGTAGTCATATCACTTAATGCACTATTGGAAGGCACTCAGACACAGCTGAGGCTGGTCTGTAAAAAAAAGCAGAGCAGAGAAGAATAGCGCTAGCATTTTGTCCAGTAATTTCTTAAGCACCCAGTGACATAGTGTCTGGGCAATGACTTGAGTGGAAGTAATGATGCATATCAACAAGTAAGGGAACAAGAAAAGTGGGTATGTCTATAGTGGCAAACAAAACAGAGCCAAGTTAAAGGCCTGAGAGTTGTCCCACAGTTGTCCATACTGTTTAATTGTTGCTACTCTCCCTTGTCTGGCTGTGCTGGTTTCCCACACCATGCTCTGAAACTCTCTGAGGCACCAGCACATGCTGGGCATCAATTCCAAGAGACCACTGGGAGGGAAGAGAATGAATGTGTGGACGCAAACTGCACTGTGCTATTTAGTTTCAGGGCCAGAAAACAGGCCACAGATAATTTTATTTACTAGTACAGACATAGGTAATGGATACATTTATGCCTGAGTAAGTATCTGTCTCATAGCTAGTGTGGGTGTGAGAGACTGGAACCACCAACTCTTTATTTCATTTAAAGCTCTCAGATTCAAGCTATGACAAACCATTAATGACCTAAGGTGGGCACATTTCACATTCCACTAAATTAGAAGACTCCCGTCAAAAGGCTATACAGGGCTGGGCTGATGCAGCAAAGTGGTCCCTGATATTCAAGGACTGAAGACAAGTATGAATAAGCTATAATTTTCACCTCAAAGAAATAGCATTGTGGTGCTACAATTTGGAGGCAGGGCTGAAACTGAAAAACTACTGCCTTCAGGAACCTCTGAGAGACCTGCCTTATTAGACCTATGAGATCTGCCTCTCTGAAATTTCAGCAGGCATCTTCAAAAACAGATGTCTTGTCTAGCAGCCTGGAAACAGCCACCTGAAATTACTATGGATGAAAATTGTTTAGTGTATCATAAGGAGAGGCTGAAGCGAGCTAAAGCAGATTCAGAACACAGACTTGGAAGTGAACTAAAAATTATTCTGAAATGGTGGGTAAAAGGATTTGGTGGAGAGATTTTTAAGCTCCCATGTACTGACACAGCCAGAAACTGTCTGACTCATTGCAAAGGGGAATATTGCAAAAATATATATGGTATTCAAGCTGTTCTCCAAGACTGTGGAACACTTCTCCAGTGGATATATTTTGAATGATGAAGGTAATTAACACTTAGGGAGTGGGAGGAAATTTGCAAAGCTAATTGCTGGCGCTAATGTGTGGCAGATATCCAGAGCAGAAAAGTGGATGCGGTGAGAAGGGGGGGCAGTCTCACTTCTATTTAGAACCAAATTTCAAAATTCAAAATAAGGGAAGTATTTCCTGAAGAAACGTGGGCATAGATCTGGGTTCCTAGTTCAGTATGGCCTTTCTCCCTCCATTTTAAATCTCATGTGATTTTAAAAAAATCAGCTGGTGCCCAGCTGTGTTTGGGGGATATGGTTTGGTGGTAGCAGTCCTCCACCAAGTGGAAATCATTAAGGGCTGATGAAAGTTATGTCTGCATGACCCTGAGATGGGTTAATAAAGTTATGCCTTAAATCATATCCTTGCATCTTGTCTTCTTCCGTGTGCATGCAGGACAAAGGAACCACCTGCTTTATGAACAAGCTTTTGATTTAAAATTGTGTCAGATACTAACCCACTGAGACAAGCCTGTAGAACATCATTAGATACTCATACCTACCCTCTCCATCCCCAGAATGAGATCATCACGCAGCAGTCTTATTGGGAATGCAACTTTACAATTTCACTGTCTTTTGCAGGCTCCCTTATACCATACAATTTTATTTCTCTGGTAGCTCACTGACTCAGTAGCATGATTTTTATCTCTCTAAAACATTTGGAAGAGCTTGTTTACTCCAAATCCAATCTCTACTGCTGCTCCTCTCCTCTTTCCTGGTAAATCACTCTATCAGTGGGCAGTGTGCAATGGTGTTTCCAGGACTTAGCATTTGGGATGGCAGATGGAGAGCGAAGAATCTTCTTACGGAGGCAGGGAACTGTGCTAATCACTCTTCTGCCCACTTCAGGAATTGTTCATTTACAGCATCCATTGCAATCTGTTCTATTTCAAAACTGCTGTTGATCCATTTTTTGTTCCCCAAATTATTATGATACGGTGTCCTTTTCCCTTCTGGAACTGAACTGAGCTCAGCACAGCTACACTAAGACTGAAGTTTGCCTTTATGTTTTCTGAGGATAGTGAAATGAACACAGAAAGTGCCAAGGATCTTCAACCTAAGAGAGTTGAACTGGGAGAACTAACTCACAAAGCAGGCTAGAAATTGCCTTACCTGTAGTACATGACTGATAAATGACAGATAATCGTATGATGGAGGAAAAGGCAGACTCATTCAATTAATCTAGGCTTAAAAGCTTTCAAACCTCTAAGGTAAGAGGTGAGCAATGTCCCTGTTTTACAATTCTCCCATTGCTTCCTGGGTGACAAATACTTTTTAAGCACATTTAATATGCCTTTGGATGGACTGCTTATAAAAACAGGGAAAAGCACAAGCAGGACTCTGCCCTTTGATCTAAATGAACCAAATGTGTAGGTGTAGCTGAAAGCTTTGCAAAACAAGAGGGAAAGATCTGGGCTTTTCCTGAAAGCCAGTCTTCAGGCTGCATTGAGTGTAGCGAATATATCTGAAGGCAGTATTTAGCACAGTCTTCTCAATGCAGACTTAAAGACAAAAAGAAAAAAAATAAATGCATGCATTGCTATAAATATAACTGCAACATAGTCTATTACTGTAAAAAGTACAAAATAAAAAACAATCAGGACAACAATTCACACGATACCCATATGACTGTACTACATTACTCTGAAAAACAGAGCCCTGCTTATCAGTTATTATATGAATGCTCACAGCCCTTTGATACTTTTTGTTTCAGTCATTCAAAGAGGAGGATTTATGACTGCTTGTCAGTCGTTTCCCTCAAGAAGAGTTTGATGGCAACAATCAAGAAGAATTTATGAAACAAGAAACAGGAGCTATTGCGCTTATATTTTTCTTTCAGTAAGCTGTGCAATAAATTTTGTCACACAGTCCTCATACAGCAATATCTATGTGGGGGAAAGCTTTAAAGAAATGCTTACCGGATCACCTCCAGATGCAAAGGAAATAGACTGCATATGGTGATTCGCTATGATCTGTATGGATCAGAAAGAATAAGTGTGAGTCAGTAGGTTTTCTTACAGTTTACCCATTTGATTTCTTTCTTGGTTTGTATAGGGGTGAAAATCCAAAACCAAGATCAAAATGACCTCTGCATTTCACCTACAAGAAGTGCAAAGAGTAGCATGATAATATAAACAAACTTAAGGATGAATGTATCTATTCTCGTGTTCTTTAAAACCTAGCAGGACACAGCAAAATTGCTATATGTGCTCAGAACTCCAGTAAATCATATAGATCTGTCATACAGTATCTTTGGAGAAATTTTAATCTGCTAAAGCTCACTTTCTTTATTACAGATAGTGATGAACAGAGCAAAGGGTCCTATTCATCAAAATACTTTTCTGCTGATGCCACTCTGGTAGAATCAATGAAATCATGCCAATCCACACACCAGCTAAGGATCCTAATATTGCTTTCAATACCTACTGTGTCATTTTATGTTTCAAACACCAACATGTTTGCAACATGCAAACAGAATATTGAGTCCAGCTGCAATGTGGCATTGTGGGCAAAATCTCAGGCATACTCCAGGGCATTTGAAATTCAATTTGCTTATGTACAGTTTGAAGTAATATGATATTTCTCTGGGAAGAGACAAATTGTCATGAACCTCTAACACAAGGAGAACAGCTCTGCTCCATTGCTGTTCTGAGATTTAACTTATGAAATCTTTTAATAATGAAATCGTGTTACAACCGAGAAAGAAAAGGTCATTTGAAAGAAAATTTCACTTGATCATTTGAGTCACAGAAACCATGCCAAGGAATTTGTCTGGTACAGGACAGGCCCCTTATTTAGTGCCTCAGAGCAAGTGATAATAGTAATTTGGATCTTAATTGCTCACTTTGAAGAGGGTACCAGATATTTCAGAAAACCATTTTGGGAAAAAAATGAGGCTAAAAAGATATTCTCTGGGTTGTTTTTCCCATCCTGCATCTTAAAGACCTGAACTTTCCTATCTCCCTTAGAAAGAAAAAAGCCCAACATGAGTTTCCCTGGATCTTGCTGCTTCACTAAGTCAGAGAGAGTTGACAACTATTTATAGTGCTTCTTTCATGTAAAGACTGCTTCATTTTCAATACTCCTGCTTGTCCCACAGCAGCCTCTGAAGATGTGGTTAATTTTTAAGTGTTCAGTGGTGAACCATCATTCCCTTACTCATCAGGGAGGATTTCCTTCTCTTTTTCCCATAAAGAAGAAGTGATCCTAACAACAGAGATGAACTAGTGAAGATTTGTTACACATTTAATATTGTCACTATCTCAAATTGTGCAAATAACCTACTCTTTTAGTTCAGCATCATAAAAAACAAAAAATATTTCAGATTGCCTCAAAACTTATTTTTCCAAATGTTAAGAAAACTGAAAAGTGCTTGAAACCATCAGTTCAAGTCAGACACTTTTTTTTTTAAATTCCACCGCTAAACATTTTAGTTTAGTTTGAGGTAGGGGTATTCCCCCCCAAATACTGAAACAAAGCATAGCAAATTACCAATGCCTTGCGTTGCTTAAAATGAAACAATTCACTAATGTTGGCACATAGGTTAGACACATTTCAGTCTATCCAAATCTGCATTTTAAACAAATAAACAAAACAAAAGAAAATTATCTTCCATCCATGCCTGCTTAACATATTCACAAAACTGCTGTGCAGGGATCCATGCAATTGCTTTCTTGCTGCCCCAAGGGCCTTTTCTTTCCTTCCAGCTCCTCTGAGAAGAAGAGGCTATTACAGAAGTTCACAGCCATCTTCCTGGGTGGGGCCTCAAAGGGCAAAACTGTTGGGCCATGCTTCCTTTCAAATCAAATGCTTAGCACAAACAAGGAACAATGGAGACCATAGCCAGACTGGGGATCTCTGAGAAACCAGACATTTCCTAGGCCTGCAGCACCCAAACCAAGTCTATCTCAAAAAGAATGATGTGAGAGGAAGATAAACAGTTTTGTCGACTCAGAGAAAAGGCAAATATCTGGGGAGGATTCTTCCCTGGGATAAATCAGTTTAACTCCATTTCTACCATGACGTCAGCTGAAGAGAAGGCGACTTTCAGGGTTTGGCACTTTCATAGTAGATCTAATTAACATCAAGTTCCTATGCTTCTGACTTGGGGCAACTGTCCTTATGAAAAACACTGCTGTGTATGTTCCACGTAAGGCTCCAAACTGCTGCAACCAGCCATAATGCTGCTCCCACAGTCTCAGTGCTCACTGCAGAAGATTATGATATTTTCTAAATAAGCATAAGAATGAAGATAAATCAATGAAAACATAATAATAAACAGCAAGCTTTTGAATAGACAATGTATGTATTCTTCCTTATTCTTTAATCCTGAGGCTCCTAAGGAAAGCAGGAATATTTTTTTTTCTCTCTAGCTGTATCTGGGCAGAAAGTTGCATGCCCTAACACAGTATGTGCCTCACAGCAAAAAGCACAGCAGTTAACTATGCATGTCTGTCTTTCTCTTTATATATACCCTGAGCAAGGATTTTTCTCATCTCATACATCACTCACAATCCACTGCAGTGATTTCTCTAAGTCTGTCTGTACCTTCAGCACAATGAAGAAGAAAAAATGGGCTGCTTGAAAAAGGCTGCCTTGTGTCTCCATAAGACTGGCATTTCATTGCACTGCAAAATCCCTGAGGCTGTATTTTTAGCAGTGCCTCAGGAATAGATTGCCCTTTAAGGCTCTAAATAGTAAGAACGACAACAAAATTCAGGATGCACATTCAGTCCTGTAGTTACTTACTCCAAATGCATCCCTTAACACCCTGAAAGTTTGTAGTTGTACCCAACAAGAACTCCCACAACCAGAAAATGCCATTTCATGTCGTAGGTCTTTTAAGAGCAAAACCAAGCTACCTGAAACATAGCAAGAAGAAAATAATTCATCAAACCTGTGTTGAATACAGGAATGAACAATGACTCCTACTATGCTTTATATCCTGTTTTCCTTCATTTTGTAGTCATTACTGAGGAATAGTAACTTTGAGCAACTCAGTATTTTGGCAGACAACAAATAATTGTGCAGTAGGCTGTTCATCAAAAGCCTCACAAATTAATATGGCAGTTACACTCACCTGTTTTGTATCAGGAGTCATTAGGTTTAAGCTGGTGGTGGAGATATTCAGCATTATGCTCATTCCTGCAAACTGAAGATTGCTCTTTCCCAAGATGCTAGAAAGAACTTTGCTTGGTGGCTGTGAGATGGGGGGAAAAAGCACATTTTTGTTCTCTGTTTAATTGGGATGACCTTCATTGTATGCAGGATTAGCTGTTATCTTAAAGGTTTCTAAAAAGTTGCTGACTTTTCAAAGATCATTTCATTGCAACAGCTGTTTTCCTCTGGAGATATTTTTTCATTTATACTAGTACTACTACTGATAATAATGATTATGATGATGATGATAATAATAATGGTAATAGCAGCAGCTAGGCAGGTATTCATCCACTTTTGACCTAACAAAATAGGGAGTTTGTGAGATGGCGAAGTCTCATCTTCACCAAGGGACCAAGTGAGCAGACTAAGATGAATGCCTTAGGTCAGTATCTTAAAATGGCATGTTCCTATTCTGTAAAAACAGCTTCAACTCATGAAGAGAAATCTGTTGTTTGCTCTGCATCTACTGACCGCTCTACCCCCTTCCCACATGTAAAGCAGGACTCCAGTGATACTCATGGGATGCTCACAAAAGGGGATACACAGTGTCATTATGTTTGTAAACTTCTCAGCAGTACCTAAAAGCCCAGACCTAGGCTAAAACCTCTATATGCTGGGGTACAACATGCAGCTAAAGATTACTCCTAACTCAGAGAACAAGTACAAAGTGTTGCAATGTAATAAAGAGGATGTAATAATATTGATAACTTTTGTAGGCCTTTTACTAGATGTTAGAAGGTTTTGTAGCAATGCAAGTTATGCTGCCAAAGCAAAGTTTACAAACTTCTCACCTTTGACAGCTACAGGGAACCACACAGCTGCATGGCAGCAGCCTGATTCAGGTAACCACAGCCTGTAGAAAATCAGGCTGTGCAGCAATAACAGACCAAGTCCTTCCACTTGCTGTACTTGCACTGGTGAATATTTATGCTGGTCATTAGGATATAAAAGCAAAGCTGTGACTGGAGGCAGTGTTCTTCTGCCACTGTATTTGCATTTGTCCTAAGCTGCCTGCATGCTTGGAAAGCATTGTCCCTAGCAGGATGGAGACACTTGTGCTTCTTAACTCCTTTAAGCCTACATATATTCAGTTTTAACTTCTTTTCTTTCTGTTTAATTGATTAAAAACACACTACCTACATACTGCTCTTATGTAACATTTGGGCTGCAATATTTTAACTTTGTCATGTTACAGAGCTAGTACTTTATTAATTTCTATTTAAAACAAGCCCTTTTGAATATTCTTGCTTGCTTCTCTTCTTTCCTTAAACCTTTGTGATTCCCAGCTCATGCCTAATGATCACCTGCCCACAGCCTGGCTAAAGCATGAAAACTTGCCGTCAAGAAGTACATGTCATCTTAACCGAATTCATAAGCTACTAGTGGCAAAAACATGGTGAAAGTACAGGCTGGCAAAAGATACCTGCCTTTAACATTTATCTGAAATTCTGTTGCTGGGCAAATTTTGTTCTTAGCCAGTACACTTATTTTAAAAACACTATTTCTTTTCAATAGTTGATAAGCACCATTGCTTCTAAACCCAGTAATACAGCAAGGTGTCTCACTAGGCACCTGGGAGTCTGTTTAACCTCCGTTTCCAATGATACTTCGCATCATTTTGCTTTCCAAGGAAAAAGATATTTTCCACTTTACTTTCAAGTTTAAAAACAAAAGCCAGAGAACCTAGAAATGCCAATGAGATAAATTTGGTGGTAGTGGTGGGGAAATCACAACCTTAATTTCTGCAACAATTTCCGATTACTCTGTGACATATGTTGTCACATATGTCTTTTTTTTATCAAGGGAAGATTCTCCGTTGCAGACAAGTGGCATTTCATCCCATCCCTTTCTGCTGGGATCCTGCCTAGATGGTGGAGCAGCTGGGGAAGCAGGCAGACCTTTTCCTTCACCTGCCCTTCTTCTCCTGCACCCAACAACACATACAAGGGCTAGAATGAACTGCTTTCTGCGCTCCTTCCCTTAGAGTTAGCATTAAACCCCAGCTTTGCTAGCAGGCCCCTGGAAGAGCAGGCAGTGCAAGACTGTTGAGAGCCATGAGTACAGGAGCCGAGCCAAGGCTTCCTCCACTCCTTGCCTGCAGATCCTAACTCCTACCACAAAAATAAGAATAAAGGCACAGTAATAACCCTGTCAGGCCAACACCCACTGGACCCACCATCAGTGCTGGCCACTGAGCATCGGCCACAGGTGATTATGGAAAGAGCATAGGAAACAGAGGATCAGCGGGTATGTTCTCTCCATTTCCAGAAATCAGGCATTTCCAAACTCATTAAATGTCACCAGTAGAGCTATACTCCAACAACAGATCTAATCACTTTCAAAACTACATGTATTTTTGGCTTCTGCAATAGCTTCCAGAACCTATTTCCACAATGTACTCATGCATTTTATGAAAAGGCATCCCTTTTTGCTTGTTTTAAGCCTTCTGCCTGCAATCTACAAGAGAAAGAAAAGGAAGAGGGGGTTTCTACAGTAGGAACATAAAGGCAAGCCACAATCTTTTTCTAGATGTACTCATACTTCTAGATGCCTATAAAAGCAGATCCTGACCAAAAGGGCAAGAAGCAACATACAGCGGGTGAAAACAACCAATACTTTAAATGATTAATGATCTGCAATTCTCAAAGCTGCTTTAAAGTCACCTGCCTGCTGTGCCTGGTCTCATCTGTGTTGAACTAAGAAAATACTGTCAACTGCACTACAAGAAAAGAAAAATACCTTTCGTTTCTTGAAGGCTCCTTTGGCACCAGGCATGGCTTCACAAACACGACTGATAGCTTCCCTGAAGAGACAGAAAAAAGCTTTATGGCAAATGTATGTGTGGATTTCTTCATTATACTCAAAATGCACTGGGAGAGAACAGCTTCATACCATATTTCTGTTCACAAGTAAGGATAGTTAGCAGGTCAGTTAGCTCTCTTCTCAAGGCTAAAACAGGTGCCATTCAAACTTAGATTATTTCAGCGTGAAGTAGAAGATAGTAAATAGTCGATGTTAGTATAAGGAAGAGTACCTTGAGAACTACAAAGGATAAAAATGTTTTCTCACACTATTAAAAAGACCTTTTCTTACTGTAAATTAGAATATATTTCTTAATACCTTCTTCCAAGTCTCATTTTTGTACCTTATTAAGCCATGAGGAATCTGATCATAACACTTGTCTTTAATCAACATTGCTTTACACCTTTTTTTAAAATGTGTCTTTTAATGTAAAGGGTAGTAACTACCATTTTTTCTCACTACTATACTATGCACTTTTCCAGTCAGAGCAAAACCACCTGGCTTTAGGTAATACCAGAATCCTAAAATATTCCTGGTAATATGCACATTGTATACAACACATGTGAAGTAAAAAAATTTAATTTATATTTGTTCAATATGATCTGAATAATCTATTTGTGGCCCTGTGTCATATATTGTAAGCAAAATTAATGCCATTAACATTTTGCTTCAGTTTTCTAATATTGCTTTCATTCTTCCCATCACACTTAAGTTGAATGAAGGAAATGCATGTTGAAAATGAATTTGAATTCATTCTCTCTCATAGGACAGTAACCGTATACTACAAAAACTCTTGAAATCATACTACTACAAACAAATTTTATAGATCCTTTCAGTATTTAACACCTTACTATCTGAATAGTCAGTCTGGTCAGTATTTAGAATTTGCTCCCATGCACACAGAGACCCTCCTGTGACCATTAGCTACACAGCTGTAACAGACCTGTCCTGTTGATACTGTAACACAGAACCCTTGCACAGATACCAGTAAAGACGGCTCCTAACCTGGTTTATCTGCTTTAAATATGGATTGAGACTAACAGCACATTATATTTAGACCTAAAAACATGCAAATAACATGTATTTTATGCAAAAAAATATACAGAATGGGAGACAATGAACCACAAGCTAAAGAACAGTCAAAATAATCAAAACCTAAAAACATCACCTTGATAAAAACATAAATTGTTTTAATTTTATGCCATGTGCAGGATGATATTTCAACTGTGCATGAGGTGAATTCACAGGATCAACAAGTGAGTCGGGAGAAAAATGTCATATACGTATCAGCATTTAACATATAATGGCTTAGTAAATGTCACTGATTTATCTGGTTGCAATCAGTAACAACTATATAGTTATGCCTTGGGTGCTTTTACCTAAGGCCCAATCCAAAGTTTGAATCACCTGAAAGAATTGTATTATTTATTATTTTTTGAGGGTGGATGGTTGCGGGGGTGGAACAGGCCTTGCAGCAGGTTTAAAGTCATGTCATTCTGAAGAAGCGTGAGATTTACAGCAAGAGATAGTCAAAAAAGCTTTCAGGCACACAATCCTTTCTTCAGGTCTAAAGGAGAGCTTGTTTGTTCCATAGCTTGTCTTTTTCTCTTTTTTGTTCCCCAACTACATCTGCTCATTTAATAAAATCACCTTTCGCTAAAAACCCTGCCTTGCATATGCCCTCAGACCATCACAGCCACAACCGCACTCCATTTCACAGTTCAGCACTTGCATTTAGTTCCCACATTTACCACAATGCTGCTTTGACTCCCAACAAGTGTTATAGTTAAAAGTAGCTACTAAATTTTCTTACAGAGCAAGTAAAAATCGGTTGGTTTAAAAGAGCAGCCCTGATGCATCTTAGAAATACAGCACAGCAAGCATCACACACAGTGATCATCACGATACTGAGACATAGGTTACTCCTGAAAATGTAATCAGGAAAAAGCAATATTCTTCTTCTTCACCAAAAATGCTTTTCTTTGACTCAGGAAAAGCAAACAGACATGGTGTTATACAGAGCCATTCCCTCAGCCTTGTTACTGGGCTCAAGAAACCTGTGGTTTCCCATTTCTTTCTTGTACTGAACCAAATCCCTTGGAGGCAACGGGGTGGGAAGTCCAGGCCTGTGGCAGTCCTTGTCTCTTTCAGTTGAGACCCCTCATAGGTTTTGCCTCTCACAAAAGGGATTTGTGTTTCAGAGACACGAACTGTGAGGATAAATTCACCTCTAACTCCTTTCTCTTCCTGTTTGCCTCCACCACCTTGTCTCTCTAGCAGCAACATGGAGCAGGTAGGAAGAAAAGGGAATTTTTAGCCCACCGCACCTGGCAAAAAAAAACATTAATAAATTTGTTATTTTTCTGGTGCAGGGCTGGAATTTGTAGTGGTTTTGCTACTACCTCTTCTGCCAGCCAGCTCCTAGTAATCAGACATAAAGCATGTTATTTAATAGACCCATCTAACTCAAGGACCTTGTTGATCAAAACTGCCACTTGAGCGTAGGAGAGGAAATGCACCCGCTGAAAAGGCTGAAGCCCAGGGCTGAGAGCTGGCAAGGCTGCCTGCGTTGCTGTTTGTATGCCCTGCTTCGGCAGAGTGGGGAAAGAACCAAGCAGCTGAAAAGCTAGGATATACAACCTCTCCCTCAGTAACAAAATGCTGTAGATTTTCCAACTACCTGTCTTCCGTTTAGCAAAATATCTCAAGTGTTATTGAACTCGGTGTTTCTAAAGTCTGCAGCAAGACTGGAAGTGGGGGGAAGGACCTGAGAAAGGTGATGGCTTGTTGACATACGTGTCAGATGAGGCAGGACGTCTGAACTTGACAATTCTTTTAACTTTGGTTTTTTAAACTCTGTGAATACTAAATGTACTCAAGCAACTGCAGGGTTTAAGTTACCAATGCTTTTGGTGAAAATGTTGCGAACTTCAGAAAAGATATTCATAGAGCAATTCTGCCTAGGCAAGGTCAGAGTGACCTGGCAGCAACTCTTTTTGTACCTGCAACAAAAGGCACAGTTCTTTTCCCACCTGGGATTTAGGGAGTCTTAAAGAAGTACCTGATGAAAACAAGAAGAAAAAGGATGGTTGAATATCTGCCACCACACTGACGTGCACTTTTTCTGGGGGAAGGTTCCCGGATCTCTCTGTTCAGAATATTCTAGATCATTTTTGGAGGGGTCTTTACACAAATAGCCTGGTGATGCGGCAAAGACATCTAAAGACTTCTTTCTAGCTTGAATTGCCAGGCACACAGGGCAGATGTAAGCTTTTTTTTGCAGCAAATCAAGTTTGCAAATGCCTCTGCAGCACAATACCTGAGCCACAAATCAAGCCCAGAAATAGATACTGCTGCTAGGTTGAGAGTGCCATTTCCTGACTTGTGCGTGCAAATGCTTGTCTAAGGAAGGCAAAAGCAGAAGTTCTGGACATATCTGCACAGCTAAACAATTGCACAGAGTTGGAAAAGTTAGATGTGACTACATTTGCTTCCTTTCCAATAAGAAAGTTATTCGACACAGACACATATTACACCTTTCTAAGCCACACGCTGTTTCATTAGCCAGGCTCAGATAAATACCAGTGTAGAGTTATCTTGATCTCTTGTAAAATTAGCTACTGCACTGTCTGCAGTAGGGACCACATGCTGAGTTCCAAATCTGTCCAAGAGTATTTTCTGCTTTGCAGATGGTCATACTGTGGAGTCATTTTCTTGGCACAAAACATGTTGTGTATCTTGAATATAATTTCAGCACGCAAATGTATCCAGTGAAAAAATACCAACATGCATTTTCTGAGGCTGACCTATTCTGCTTTAAAGTGACTTGACACCTCTCTGAGATAGAAAAAAAGACATTTTACATTGTCATTTTGTTCCATTAAAAAGGCTAATGCCCTGATATTTTTCATAGCTTTAGTCATATTTTACTCTGACTGTTATATAAAGTAGCCCACTCAGGAAGCTCAAATCTGTTCCTCTATGAAACACCATCACATGAAAATACCCTCCCTTCTTGTGGTTTCAAAGATTTTTTTGGCTGTGATGCTAGGTTTTGTTGTTGCTGGTTTTAATTAATATGATTTAATTGATTAAAAAACAGAATTCTGGAACTCACATTTCAGGAAAATGACAGCACATACAAATTGCACAGATTTTCTCAACATATTTGGAAAAAGTATAGCCATCTCAAATATTGAGATGAGAAACTGTGACTAGTTTTTAGCCTGAAATGTTTTGTATGAGAAGACGTAAAACCTACCAATATTCTCTTGTTAATGTCTTCTAGTATCCTACAGTTCCCAAGTTCATCTTTGCCACGTCCAAAGCACAGGTTAAAAAAACAGACACCAAAAGATGGACTTTGTAAATGAAAGCATGACTGTCTAGAAGAATTGTACAGAAGGCTCCCAGTTATTTCTTAACAGTATTATAGTCCTGCTATTTTTTTTTAATAATTTATAAATCATTACCAAGTGTTGTACCAGTATTTGCTGAGGAGAAACAAAGTCTACACTGGATATAAAAATAAAAAAAACAGAGACCAAAAATACATTTTTAGAAATACATTTAATAATTGAAATATTATTGTTCATTTGCAAAACAGTCAAAATGTGCGTGTGCTGTCTGAAGTAGCACAGGGGATATTCGCTGGCTCTGAAGACTAAGCCAGTATATTACTGTTTACGGAATTTTAAACGTCAACTGGTAAATTGACCATGTCTGGAAAATGTAAGGCTGGAGAAGTAGCTGAGGAAAACAGAACATAGAGTATGGACAGGAAGGGGAGGCAACTGCGTGGCGTGGATGCACCTACTGCCACGAATTCAGAGTACCGTGCAGGGAGTACCCCTGCAGGGGAGCCCCCCCCCAGGAAGACAATGCCATTTGTCACACCAGCCTGACCAAAGCGAAGCCTGTCCTGACCGCACAAGTGACAGAAAGCCTGGAAGAAAAGGTTTGTGGAATAAGGCGACATCAGCAGATGTGGCACGCAAGCTG